GACACACACAGTAAAAGAGCATGTTACAGCTGATTGACCTCTGAAACTTTAGCTGCACACTGCCTACCTCCTGACATTGTCATCATTTTTTGGTAAAGAAGAGGAATGGTGTGAGTGAGTGGGTTTGGTTTTACGCCGCGATTACCAATATTCCAGCAATATCACGGCGGGGGACACCAGAAATAGGCCGCACATATTGTACCAAGTGGCGAATCGAACCTCGGTCTTCAGTGTGACGAGCGATCGCTTTAACCACAAAGCTACCCCAAAGTAACTGCTTTAATACTGTGATGATAGCGTGTGGTGCGTGTAACCTTCCGGGAATCTGTTTAACTTTTCATTTCCTTTGAAATGATTTCATTTACAGTACATGTCCTCATACATAATGTAATTGCTCTTGGTTGATAGTTCTAAGTCATCTCAGCTCTCGGTTCAGTCTAGACTAACGCTTATAGTTTCTGAAAAATATATGCATAATTTCGATAGTAACAAATAAATCTATTTAAATTGAAAAGGAGCTCTAGGGAGACCAGAGATTCAGAGAAATCTAGACTTGCTTCAATAGACTTTAGCATTGCAGAAGTGGCTTTGCAGTTGGGAAAATAATGTAGTTCAGGGACTAGGATCAATCTATCAAACAACAGCCGCAGTTTATCACTGGCCATCCGACTAAAACAGCAGGTTTTTTCCATCGAGACAGACTCTGAAGATATCATTCACCCTTTGTTGTCAATGTTAATCACTGATTGTTCAACTCTGTTCAATACGGTATATTCAAACGAAGTCGCATATTATTATATAGTTATTATCAGTGTATCAGAGCTACCATTTCTAATGTAGGGATAGGATAATAAACAGGAACTGTGCTCCCCTCTTGGTGATCGGAATCTTCATACCACCTGCACAGGAAGTTTCTCTCTTGGACGTTTTCTTAAATGCCTTTACATCGAGCAATATAGTCCAGCAGCTCCATACTTTGGAGTCTACATTTCATAACTAGGAATTACAATCGAACATGCTCGTGCGGAAAAGATTTCAACCTCTCTTGTTCAGAAGAAATTTAAACGGGGTTACTAGATTCAAGGCTTTGGTAAAATTTCAAATGGTTTCAAATCATATGGGGGTGGTTCCAAATGTGGCGCATCAACAATAAAAACGTCGGATGTAGTTGCCAGTTTTGGATTTGTACAGCGCGTTCACGTTTTATTAGATGAGCAATTGATTTGCCTTTGCATGTGTTTGGTGTATTTGATTACACGTATCATGGGTGATATTCACGTATCAGTATTTAACAACAGGCGACAACATAGGAAGTTTCGACTAAAATGGAGTCGAAAATTCACACTAACCATGGATGAGCCTGCGGTTCTCTCTGTTGAGAAGTTAATCGTGGGAGATCTGTTGAGCTTGTTTTGGCACTGATCCATTGCATTTCAAACCATTACTGTAAATGTATTTTACAGGTGTAATGATGTTTCACTACTGTATGTGCATCTTTCCAACCACGGGTTGTGTGCACCTACACTTTCAAGTTTGCAACCTTCAGTTTGCAGTGCTACGGTGACTGTTTTAGCCTTGAAACGTTTTGATAAACAAGAGTGAGTGAGTGAGTGTAGTTTTACGCGGCTTTTAACAATATTCCAGCATTATCACGGCGGGGGACACTAGAAATGGGATTCACACATTGTACCCATGTGGGGACTCGAACCCGGACTTCGGCATGACGAGCGAACGCTTTAACCATTAGACTACCCAACAGCCCCTGACCTGACAAACAAGAATGAAATACAACTGTATACATGGCCCTTGACCTTCTACCGAATAGATTGAACGGATATTACAAGAGTCTGGGATGTTTAATCACTACGCCCTGTATGCGAAATAGCCACTGGTCCGCCAGCACGTGGCTAGTAATAATCCAGTCGAGCCAGTAAATCTCCAGTCACTGGCCCGACCACCTAGTGAATGTTCATTGGGTCATCTTGGAAATATATCACTCTCTCCCACTTGTTAAGTTATAATACACTTTTAAATTATGCAAGATTATGGCCTGAAAAAATGTTCATCATATTAGCAGCTTAATGATGACACCCGTGTCATGCCGACAATATCTTATTCTCATCCATTTTTGTAATCTTTTGTTTAGCTATTACGTTCAAATTTCGGGTTAGTTACTATGGGCCAGCAACTTTCAGGCATAGCTAGCCCGACTGGTTAGCAAAATTTGGAAACTATAAAGGAAGACAGGAAAAATCAAGCGTTCCTGTAATATTTTTCAGTTTTCATCACCAGCTTTGAATAGCGCTGTGGGAGAAATCTGACAATAAATACAGCAACACTGCTGTGAAGTGGTGTTCCCTTATTTGTTTCCCTCAGTATATTTCGCCCACTGAATACGCCACGTACATTAGCCAATAGATAGAACAACACGCATGCAATGTGTCATGTTGGTACAAACTATGGCAGTCTGCCCTGTTCTAAGTGCACCTGTGAGCCTACTGTTCGCAGAAACTGCGTCATAGTAAACACAAATGCAGGCAAACATTTCCAAAGAGGTGAGGTGAGGTGAGGTGAAATTGGGTTTAACGTCGTGCTTGAGAATATTTCGCTCATATGAAGACGTGCATGCGTGTGTATGTGTATATGCGGCTGCTTGTACTAGCCAAGACTTAAGCTGGTTTTATAGTGCTAGCCCACTGAGATACCATGCAGTGAAGCCATGAATACCCCACTCAGACACATTATACTGACTCCGAGCCGACCAGTCCTTGATGTACCCATTAATGCCGAGCGTCAGGCAGGGACCAACAAGTACCATATTTTAACGTCACTTGGTATGACGCGGTCGGGGATCGAACCCGCGACCTTCCGCTCTCCGGGCGGACGCTCTAACCACCACACCACGGAGGCAGTTTTCCAAAGAGGACATGTGAGACTCGTGCAAGACATGCTTTTCACGAATTACCTGATAGTGATCTGTGCAGCCGAGCACCGATCTCGGTTTATGTAATCGGCGACATGTAGACGGATATGCTGACGTATGAGCTCGATTATTGCAGTAAAGTATCTTATTCTGCAAGAATTGTCATCACCTTGTTTTCAGAATCACAACATCAGCATCATCATCTACTCCCGGGACTACAGACATAATATACACAAAGAACTTAATAAAGCACCCCAATACTTTTGCAATGATAGGTTTTCAACACGTACATACAACTTCTCGTTGTGACCACGATGGAAAAAAAGGGAGTTTTTCTGACCCGTATGCACCTTTGACTCATAAAAAACGACAAAATAATTGGAATCCATGTTGATTTTATTATGATAATTGCTCATTTTGAAAAACACACACACTAATTTTCATACAAACCCATATCTTTAGAATTATTGCCCTGGAATGTTAATGTTGAATTTATTGGTGAATGTGAACATTCAATATGTGATTTTGCGTGTCTTACACGATTCTGGGTCAATACCGAGTGTAACCTCCATGTGACTGTATGAGAGCCAGCACTCTCCTCCTCATAACCCGTCAGCCTCCTGGTCCTAAGATGGGTCAGTCTGCCATTCCTCGTGTAAAGCAACTTCTAAATGAGCCAGGTTCTGTACTGGAGGATACCTCTGTAGCACGCGACGACCAATCATGTCCCAGATATGCTCCAAAGGGTTAAGATCGGGGCTCATTCAATCGTGAGATGTCAAGGGGGTGCTTAACTGTTCTTTGTGTATGTATATACTTATTTGCACGGTGATAAAGTACATGGATCAGACAGTCAAATGATGTGTAGACTTATTCATTTCCAAGAACCGACGTTAGGATACAGACTAGCTTGGCGCAAGTCGGAAGACACTTGGTAACCAGTAAGATTCGGACACCTTTGAAGGAATCTGGATTGAAGCTTTTAATACTAAAGGAACTGACTGCGAAAGAATAATATACTTTTAAACCACTCGTTTTTAGTTTCCTCCTTTGAGGTTTCATTGCACGTTTTGAAGCAACAACTGAAAACCACTGCCACAGACACAAACGACAGACTTCATTCAGCTTCCAGCAGATGCCAGGGAGTACAGGAAGTGGCTGTCAGGGTGTTAGACTGAACCCAGTAGGTCCTACCGCCTTGATGGACCTGCACTTCTGGACTCACTGCCCACCAAGAACTAACACACAGGTTTTGTCTGACAGTGTAATGTACTGTGTTAGTAATTCAGGTAATATTACCCCCGAGAGTCACAAACATCTTCATCAAACATACTCTTGGCTGACTGACCTCTGAAAATCTTGCTGCAAACTAACTGGCTACTTCATGACATTTTTATCAGTGTTTGTGATTGGTTGGTTGGTTGTTTAAGGTTGCACTCAGCCATATTTCAGCTCTATGGCAGCGGTCTGTAAATAACCGAGTCTGGACCAAACAATCAAGTGATCAACATCATGAGCCTGTATCTATGCAATTGGGATACGATGACGCGTCAACTAAGTCAGCGAACCTGACCACGCAATCCGGTTAGCTGCTTCTTACGACAAGCATGGGTTGCTGAAAACCAATTATAACTGACTGTTTGTGAAAAAGAACAATGGCTTTACACAAGGACATAAGAGACCAGTGAAGATCTGGGTTAGAATTGGTCTTCAGTAACCCATGCAGGTTGTAAGAAGCAACTAACAAGATCGGGGTGGTCAGGCTCGCTGACTTGGTTGACACATGTCATCATATCCCAATTGTGTAGGTCGATGCTCATGATATTGATCACTGGATCAAATCAGGACATTAGAGAAGATTTCATGTTTGTTTGTATGGTAATATGTGATCAAAATTCCACATTTTTCTACCCTGAGAAATTCATGAATAACATACATACAATCTATGATGAATGACTACTTATCTGCCCCTCACGATCCTATGCTAACATGCAAATTCATGATCCTTCACAAATGTTAATATGTATGCTCTAAATATGTCTCAACACAGAACTACGGTACTTATGACAAAGCTTGAATTGGTCAAAAATTAGTTGAACATCTTTATTTCATCACATAAAATTTGAAATATCACAAAATGAGTGCAGCAGACTAGAGGCCATCCGATCGTTTTACATCAGCCAACATAACTCAATCATACCTCTCTCAGCATTCAGCAATGTGCTAATGACAAACATTTGAAACTTAATAAAAAAACAGTTAAAACTTCTAAAATCGTAACAATCCATGACAACTGTCAGCAACCTTCTTGATTTCACACATGCTTCAGGGTGAGCTGGTTCTTGATGGCTGGGGGAACAGTGCCATCCTTCAACATATCTGGCAGGGATGTTCCCAGAGCTTGCCGAGCCTTCAAGCAGGACAACTCTTTCAGACTTTTCAAATTTGTGTTGAAGGAGTCAAGCTTCATCTTCAGGGCTTTGCCTCTGGGACCTCTGAAATATTGGGGAGGGACATGTTTCTCAATGTGTGGTTCTGCAGAAACATCATACCCTGCAGCCAGAAGCATGTCAAGCATCTTTGTCCCCACATCAACATCCGGGCATGTGATGACATGACACAAGGTGGTCAGGTTCTCCTTGAAGGACTTTGTTCTTAGAGGAGCATTCTTCCTGATGAGGTATCTCAGGATGTTGATGTTTCCACCTCTTACTGCAGCCCGCACTTCATCATAGATTGGGGATGTCCCGGGACGAGCTCCTGCTCTGTACAATCGCTTCACCATCTTAAAACCACGTAACACAGCAGCATGAAGGATTGGCCTTCCTTCAAAGTTCTGCTTGTTCATAGGTGAACCTGCCTCGATGAGACAATTGATGTTTTCTTCGGAGCCACTCATGACTGCCCGAAATATTGGTGTTGCTCCGAACTCGTCAACTTTGCCAACATTAGCACCATGTGCGACAAGGAATTTGATGATTGGAGAATAGTCATATGGTTCTCTGGCTGCCAAGTGCAGAGCTGTCATATTTTCATCATCAGATATGTTAATGTCAACTCCTATGTCCAACATTCTCTTAAGATGGGGCAAGCTGCCTTCTTTGTTGCTTCAAAGAATGGATGACAAGATGGATGAAAAGGAAAACCTTGTCCACAGAGGTAGTCAAAGATCACAACGCTCCCAGCACGAACTGCTATTTTCAGAGGAGAGTCCACTGCACTTCCAATTGTTCTTTTAGTACTGGCAGATATTTTTCTGTTCTTGAACCAGTTTATAATCCCATAGCCATCTCTGTTAAATATGAGATCTGTTAAGGAATACCATGCAGTCTCTGGCACCTCACTCTCATAAGAGAAGTCGTCATGCAGCAGGAAGTCAAATTGTGTCTGAGTGCCCTCACTATGATATTTTTTAAATGTCGAAGTTTTGGATGCTTTGTACGGTTTAGTCACAGACATCAGACACTTTTCAGACATGGCTATACGTCCACCATATTCTTCATCACCTGACATGTGTTCATTGTGTGATTCTTGTTCTTCATCTTCAGATACTGCTCCTTCTTCATCTTTAGGTGCTGCTCCTGACGTGTTGTCACCTTGTGAGTCAACCACAATTGGACTCTCTCCACTGTTGGCATCACCTGGTGGCTGTGAAGGTTTTGTAAATTCCTGAAAATAGTAGAATGAACCATCTAAAATCTTAACTGTAGTTCACAAGTCAATGCATGGTTTGGCTCCTGCACACTCACAAACAGTATCCCACAAGTCCACATGCTCACTCCTATCTGAAGATAACATCTGCTGACAGTTGCAAGTCACTTAGAAAAGGGATAAAGTGACAGGTCATTCCCACAGAACACAGTGCCACAGAACAATCTCCTTTCACAGAACAATCTCCTGAAATAAGGTGAAACATGATTGGTTGACGTCAGACTAATTATCCAATGAGAATTGTTGTTAGTAGACATTGCCGACTCTGAGAGTTAAATGAAATCTGATGTTTTCACCTGTTTGAAGAATCGAAACGCGAGTCCAATATAAAAAATCAAATCAAATCGAGGTCTGGGTGAAATGTTGCAGCCCTAGTCAGCAGATCAGAATGGTTACATAGGGCTCAGTTTTCAATTTACTTTATTTAACATGCACCATGTGCATACTGACGTCACATTGACACTTGTTGCACCAGACTAAATCAGGTTGCATATGGGTCAAAAACCATTTATGACAATTAAAATAAAGATCTATACATAACTGACTGACTGAGTTTTGGTTTTTACGCCGCTTTTAGCAATATTCCAGCAACATCACGGCGGGGGACACCAGAAATGGGCTTCACACATTGTACCCATGTGGGGATTCAAACCCGGGTCTTCGGCCTGACGAGCCAACGCTTTAACCACTAAGTTACCCCACCGCCCCTGATCTATACATAAACTAGTCCATATAAGTTAAATCACATCTCTGATGACCAACTCATGTGTCCTGTGTAACACAGGGTTTAGTGATATACTGAGGTGAATGATGCCTGCAGATGTTGTGTCCAAAGACTCCTGTGCAGAAGAATGGGTTAGTTAGACACAAATTTCAATATTTGGGGACATGTACTTGGAGCATGTAGACATAAATATTAGATTGCGTTTTGTCAGTAATACACTGCACAGGCGTATGTTATATATTGGTAACCCGAGCTGATTTTAGGAATGTTTGAATGTCGTAATTGGGTCATAATCGGCGGACCTGCCAGTCACCATGTTGACAACCTTGGCCTGAGTAACTAAGCATTTAGAAAACCTTCATACAATCGTACCATCTGCAGAAGCACGTTGAAAACGAGCCAACATAACTTCGACAGATTTTAATGACTGGTTTGTTTTGAACTGGTTCTCAATCTGTTTTGCATACACTGTTTTACATTGTACCAAAGTGTAAAACATTTCAGAAGAAAACCAGTTTCACATAACGACATTTGAAAGTAAACAAAGGTTTTGAAAGAAACAAACCTATTTTTTTTCCATATACTTCTAACGATAGGTTACAATTTGTTCAACTGGTTAACAATCATATTTTATTAGCATTTTGTGTACAAAATTTTGTGCCACAATTGTACAAATAGGCAGCTCTGACAAAATCCCAGTGGTATGGTGGGACCTGATTAATTCCAGTTAATAATGAAAGACACTGAATGCTTTAGTGCTTTGAGTGATTATAGACAATACTGCAAAATCCGTTTTGGTGGACATCCATGCACAAAAAAAGTAAGCAAGGATACAATGGAATTTAAACTAATGCTTCAAAGAAATCTGTAGAAAACCTGAAAGTTTAATCAGATTTTCCCATATATTAAAGGCACATGATGTACAACATTAAACCTGCCCTGTCTGAATCACGTCATGCCATGATAATGTACCTCTTGTTCCTGCTCTTCATCTGTGTCGCAGTAGTCACTCTCAGACTCCTCATCCTGAAAGGATGCGTAGGAGTAGAAATCGTTATCCCAGCCCCCACCATCCTCTGTGTCACAAACTGCCTCTGAGTCAAATTCGTCTTCCTCCTCTGAAGTCCAGGACTCACTCTCTTCCCCACATGTGGACATTGCCTTGGTAAACAGGAGGAGGTAAACTTACTGGGTTTAATGAAGGGAGTTATACAGGAAAGATTTCCGCCCGTAACCCCTGTATTTCTTCTGATCATTCTGTGCCTAAGAATATAGGCCTATGGTTTTTATAAAAAGCATAAACCTAACTCTTAACCCTTAACAGGGGTTACGGGCGAAAACTCTTACCGTTATACAAGCGGGAAGTTTGACCACTATTTCAATGAGAATCATAGCGACTTTGTATTCAACTTTTGAATACCCAGCTTAGTTTCGAATCATGTTTCCTCTGCACAGGTGAGTGAGTGAGTTTAGTTTTATGCCGCACTCAGCAATATTCCAGCTATATGGTGGCAGTCTGTAAATATCCAGTCTGGACCAGACAATCCAGTGATCAACAGCATGAGCATCCATCTACACAATTGGGATATGATGACATGAGTCAATCAAGTCAATTAGCCTGGCAACCTGTTCCCGTTAGTCGCCTCTTATAACAAGCATGGGTTACTGAAGATCACGGATCTCTGTACAAGTACATTCACTCGTGTCATTCAGTGATTCACTTCTCACTTTTTTTACAGTGTAATTAACATTTTAAAAACAAAAACAAAACAAAAAACATGTATGGAAGGTTCACCTTTAACATGTTTAAGCACTAGGAACTTGAATAAATATTTCATTTTATTAATTAACCTTGCTGCACTGGTGCAGTTTTACTGTCCAAAATTTCCTCGTTGCTTTCTGACAGTCTTTGGAAAGTAAACATGGTAATTTTGTCACTGGCGTGATGCATCTAAATCAGGTCCGCATCGAAAAGTCACTAAACTAAAAGGTTACCATAAATTCATGCCATTCCTATTGTTTTTCAGCATGTATACTCGGTTTTCGAGCGAGACTTGTTGAATAAACCCGTGAACAAGATCTTAATGTGATTATAGTGACCATATGTGATCAGGCTGGTGACATCTCGGTTCGTGCCAGTTTAGTGAGATGTGAAACGCAGTCAGCAGTCGGTACCAGTCACGACAAACCAGAAAATACATTTAAAAAGGCAAATATACATACCTTCTAAATAGTCAACGACTTAGTAATTAGTATCTAATCCCAGTGTGCTGTGAAACTGTTATTGCTCTTCTAAAATAGTTCCCGCCACACTAATCAATAACAATTTAGAGTTACCTCCCTTAGAGAATGACTGGTACCGTTGTTTGAATGCGCATGCATCTGTAGGTAAGACAAGCACCCAGTCTCACATTTGCAGCTTGAGGTGGTATCTTCCTGACAAGTTGTACGAAAGTGAACTCATTTGGTTCAAGAAATTCTTCACAATAAGCTGAAACGAGTCTTAATACGAGAAATGCACAGAAAATCCCTAATATGCTTTTGAAACTCATTATAAACCCAACCTAGATTCTACTCATGGTCAATATTTCTTATTAAAATGTACATTGACTTTTAGGTATGGATACATATAATTTAGACAATTTTCCAACTGGTAAGCGTCTGTTAATTTTTATTTCATTTTAAATCCCTGTAATACTAAGTATTCTATTTTAAACGTAGACCTTTACCGCATGAAGAATTTCTCACAGTCAACCTAGTATATGCGCTGCTCATAGAGACATACTATCTTTTGAAATATTCCTCAAAAGGTTCTCCTGAATCCGATGTATCCCTACATGTATCCCTAAGCCAGAAATGTGGCTCAAGGGGTCAGGCCTGCTGACGTGGTTGATGCATACCACTGTTTTCCATTTGTGTAGCTCAATGCCCATGTCAATCAGTAGATCAGCTGGTCCTCACTCGATTATTTACAAACCACCAGGGGTGGTAAGGAAGCCTAGTGGTTAAAGTGTTCGCTCGTCACGCTGAAGGCCCGGGTTCGATTCCCCACATGGGTACAATGTGTGAAACCCATTTCTGATGTCCTCTGCAGTGATATTGCTGGAATATTGTTAAAAGCGGAATAAAACTAAACTCACTCACTACAAATAACCATGATATTGGTGAAACAACAAATGATTGCAGTATCAGGTTTACATAAATTGTCATTGTTTTCTGAGCAGAAAGTGGTGTAGCGGTTAGAGAGTCCACCCAGAGAGAGGAAGGTCGCGGGTTCGATCCCTGGACGCCACACCAAAAGACGTTAAAATATGGTACGTGTTGGTCCCTCGGCATTAATGGGCACAAGGACTGGTTGGCTCGGGGTCAGTATAATGTGTCTGAGTGGGGTATTCATGCTTTACTGTGGCATGGTATCTCAGTGAGCTAGCCCTAAAAACACAGCTTAAGTCTCAGCTAGTATATACAGCCACACATACACACGCATGCATATTGTCATATGAGCAAAATATTCTTAAGTACAACGTTAAACCCCATTTCACCTCACCTCACCTGAGCAGAAAATGTACTCCATCATAATACATGTATAAGAATCCAAAATGGACCTGATAGATGCATGATGGCTCGTTGAAATGAATAACATGCACCGAGACATAAACAGATGCTCTTCAACTCCACCTCCAGCTTCAAACATGCAATGGCTTTTCCATCTAGGCATGCAAGGTGTGTCAAAACAAAACAAACATATCTTTTATTTTCATACTTTGGTTTATTTACCATATGAAATTTTATGATTCCACCTTCGACAAGACCAGTTGTATGTAATGGTGTATCACTCACTTCGACATCCTTCCCCAAACAGTCATAAAACAGCTTCATCACAAACAGAATATCAGACCACCTACAACTGCAGAAGTAGCATCACACATAATATCAGCTGCACTTCATTCTCTAAAGTTAAACATCACTGCTCCCCCCTCCCTATTGTCAGTAGTTGTTAAAACAGAAACCGCTTGTTCCACCAAGGTGTGGTAACAATTCACATAAGTCCTAATGTGTTTCCTAGTTACTGATACAGTTAATGGTGAGTTAGTTATTAAATATTTCCTGTCAATAAGAAGAACCACATCTCAAGATTTGTCATCACTGACTAGATATCATCACTTCTTTAACAAAGAGAAAAAAGAACAATATAAATTTGTGCTAGACCACATCAAGACTGGTTGTGACAGATTTTCCCCTTCTAAATTCTGTAAATTTTGTACGTTTTATTGTATAACTCTCATTTCAAGAGACTATAAGCATACATTGCCTCCAGTTTAATCTCATATTAACCTGAAGTAATGTGTAAAACTCTACTTTTTTCCATTTACCAAAATAATTTCACTCTGGGCACAATAACATGCAGGCCAAATGGTATGAAACCATTGGTTCGTAGAGTTCCCCGTTCAGTTAATGTCTTCAAAGCACTAATTAACATCTTTAGCAAATGGTCCATAGACAAGGTTTTTTTTTTACATAAATTACTTTTCATATTTACATACATTAACAACAACAAAAACAAAATCCTAAACACAAAAATAATTCTTACTCCCCTGTAAAAATGTGCAGAAGTGTCATATTTGTCTGACAACTCGTTCAACATGTATTTTCACAAAGACCTTCCACTTCAACAGATACATTTGGGCAAAGAAACAATTGAAAGAAATAAGTACTCCAGATTTCCCATGAGACAGGGTAATTTGTGCTAAGTTTATAGGTAAAAGACATTTTTTCTCATATTGTAGTTGAAAATGCCATGGAAGAAAATTCCAAGTAAAAGAAAACATCTGATCAACAATCAATACATATAAGTTATGACATTCAATCCACAATATTGGTTTTTATGACTCTTCTGCACAACAACTGCAGCAAGACACCTCGCAGTGTGGGTCCACTCTTCAGGCCTTCTTTCCTCTCAACCCACATCCCACCACCTTCTATGTCTCTTAACAATAGCACTTTTCTCAGTGATATTCATTCAGTGATGCAAACAAGATTTCTAACACTGCTCATCTTCATTTTCTGGTACAATCATGGTTTTGAGTATTCATTAATATATTCTTGCCTAGTTTCAACATTTGTTTACAGGACTACATTACGCAGTCTCTGACATAAGAAGGTATTCTGAATCTGGTACAATTCCATACAGTTTGGGAAGGTCAGTTTAAAATATGGGAGTGAGTGAGGTTTTAGGCGCTTTTGCAATATTCCAGCAATATCATGGTGGGGGATACAAGAAGCAGTTTCAAGATTAACCCCCATTAGCAGTAACATCAACTGGAACTGATGCTGAGAGACAAGTTCATCCCAACAGATAAAGGGAAATCCCTTAGCAGGTACTCCTTAGCATGAGGCTAATTATAACCATAGAATCAAGGCAAGGCCAGGGTTCCATATGAAACCAACAAGTGCCCTGACCAATGAGCTTTTACTTTATGGGTTCCTACCCATTTCTTCAAAATTACTAAACAGTTGGGTTGAGTTCATGCACCATTGTCTGGCTGATTTGACATCTGGTTGTTAAACACAGAATAAATTTACCTGACTAGCGACCCACTCAGAGGTTCACTCAGTAGTTGAATGTGTTAACAGGTAATGCAGGAATATACAAACCTGTGCATTACTGACAATGAGTGTACAAATTCTGATACTTCCCCTTCACAAAACAAAACCTAACCACCTTTTTTCGTTTAAAAGGTCCAATCTAATTCATTTTGGTAGCGAGATAATCCAAAGAAATTTGTTTCCACAGAACTGCAATAATATGACACTGTACAATAGTTTTAACAGAGAGTTATTTCTGTTGATTAATACTACATCTTGTGATCAGTCGGCATCCATGATCTCACAGAAATTATTCATGTAAATAAATGTACAAAAATTATACCATAAATTTCAAACAATCTTACCTAACATAAAATTCATGAAAGTAAACGATCTTCAATAAGAAAGCAAAATCAGTTTCTCTTGTCAAAATGCTTCTCTGACCAAGGGTGCGTATTTTAGGTTCATTTGTTTTTTTCCAGATTAGATCCTTGTTGAAAGGTGTTTTCAAGAGAAATATACTGGATATATTTAATAACTGACCTCACTTTACTGCAGAGAGTACCTCAAAATGTTATTAGAAAGATTGTGTAACAGCAAAAAAATAAAGATATTGATTTGCTTCCAACAGACTGTCAACCTTCCTTTCCTCAATGCAGACCACAACAATTCTAGCACAACAGTGAAAGATAAGCAAAAACAGAAAGGGGAGATAGTTTCATTGACTTCGGCCATGTAGCAGAGTACTACTTACATGATGAATAACTGAAACTGGATCAGTGCTTCATTTAAATCACTTAGTATGCTTAGGATTGAAACAGGAAAGACAAGATGGATACCATTACATGTGTTTTCATCGAGTTAAAATCATTAAACCATTTATGTGTGAAAACTACACCACACAACTTCACATAATAATACCTGTCTCCTGGATTGCAATAAATAAAGGTAAGACACTTTCATGGATGACAACTTCTTCAACATTATTATGCAATGTTTCAGTAAAGATACCCTGAACACTTGCTTGACAACCCTGTGAGGGTGTATACTCAAATGTTGCATCATAATATAATACACATGTTGTCATCCATAAAAGTATCCCGCTTTTACTGTTACTTGCTAACTTCCAAAATGCCTGTCAAATATGTCCTAGATAGGACAGAGGATTGTCTTAAGGCATTCGATCAGAAAGAGAAATGGGCAAAATACAATGTTTTTGAAGCCTGAGAATGTTGATAGGTTATCCTTTCCATATTCAGCTACTAAGTGCTGAATTCACGTTGATACAACCCCTGTGGTAGACTCAAGACAAGGTCTGTAGAGAACTACTGACAAATACCACAGTCTGTTGGCTAACTGCCTTAATCAGATCTAATATTCAACATGTTAAACTGGGCACTTTGTGACATTTCAATGATGTACTACCACCCTTTACAATGAATTCATTCCACCAAAATCTTATCATTCCTAATGTCATAGCACTGCAGGCTGATGGATAAAGTAACATACAAACAGTATTTTCCCCATAACAAGCTGTTACCAGACCACAAAATACTGACAGTTCTAAACAGATTGTACAAAAAATATTGAATGAATTTTGAAACATTTAGAATAATTCAATTTTCCATACACTAAAACAGATTTTCACACAAATATTTATTCATACAAAGATGTATGCTATGAACGTGGTTGGTAAAGACAACATTATCATGATTATTATATTCTTAGCTGCTGACACTGTTTTGATAAGAAATAGTAAACATGAGAACTTATAGGTTTAGCCTGACAATGATGTACAAGGTCTATTGTAATAAGCTGTTCTGACTCATCTTTAGCACTTCCTGCCATACACCCATCAGTCCAGCCAGTCCGTCCCCGGGTGCACATCCACCATACAAGAGAGACCCTAGCTGATGAATACAGCATATATTTACATAATATCAGCAGAGAGACTACTCAACTCACAATCACTCAAGCTCCATAAATGCACACCGCACCACTTCCTCCTGGCATGGGATGTCATCAGAAAAAGGTCGACCTTCCCGATTCACTGATGTAGGACCGCATCACAAATACAAACCTCAGGACACAACCTCATTCAATTCTGTATCAAATTTACAAGTCGTATTTACGAAGTTCTACATGAAGCTAGCGTGGTAATGAAGTATCAATACTCGAGTATTGAAGTATGTATCACCAGAAATGGGCTTCCCACATTGTACACATGTAGGAAATCGAACTGGGTCTTCGGCGTGACGTGTGAACGCTTTACCAACTAGGCTACCCCACTGCCCCTATTAAGGAGAGAAATGGTCCACCAAATAACAATTGTTCTTATCAACCCTTTACCTGTAATGACTTTAATGTTTCTGAAATTGTGACATTAAAACAATCCTTTATAAGTTCCTTTCATATGATAGAAAAGCTTTGTGAACAATTGTTCCATTTTCTATGACCTGGTAAATGCTTTTTGACTCTAGTTTATAACATCACTCCTGTGCAACCAATCATACTCTGTGTATCTAACTAGTACCATTTTGTGTCAGTTGTTACAGTATGATTCCTGTTACAGTAGGATGGTCTGTAACAATAATGATAACAATAATACTGAGATATTACTTCTGAATGACATCCCATGCCTGGTAATATTTAGCATATCATACCAGCCTCAACTCAGACTATACACAGTACATATGTACACTTTAATAGGCAGGTTTACTAAGTCGTCTGTGGCACAAAGTGTTATCGAGACAGTCACATTCTTCTGATATTCTCCTGTGAACTGCTAATCTTAGCTTGGTTGGGGCTTCTACATGTTTTCCCAATCAATTGTTGATCAGTAAATATGACCATTCTTTTCATCCTTTCACATAGAAAAAATCCTCATAAAATTGAAACTGCCATAGAAGTGAACATACTTTTGAGCTTGTCTGTGTAAATTATTCATGTGCTTTAAGAATAGTTTAACATTTGCTGATTATGGTTTCACCATTTTTCCTGGATTATCACTGCCATAAAAAATTCATTGTATAAAAAACTCATCCTATTAACTTAAGAATTATATTCTAATCAGTGATAGCCATGCGACTCCTCAGTAGCCAAGTACAGTTGTACTCAGCAGCCCAGGACTATAGTGTATCTCCATGTATGCACAAAGTGGCCTTTGATTGTAATGTCCCCATGTCTACAGGGGGGGGGGGACTTACCAGTGACCATCAGTGACTTGACATTGGTCAACTGTTCCATCCAATGCTTCTACGTATATACACTGCGCAGCACCTAAGATGCTGACATTCAGTCTTGCCATTTATCAGGTTTGATGCATACATACACATATTTACAATTCATCTGTACTCCTCCGGCGTGGTAATTACACACTCTTCTAGAGAGTCAAAGTCATGTACATGACTTGAAAACCAGCTGCAACCTGTTCCATGACCGAGATGCCCATTAACTGGTAACGAAGTACCTCACACTGATAACACCAAGTCAATCATACAAAGGAAAAGAAATTCACAATATGTCAATTTGTGTTCATTCCACTTTTAGATGCTATCACATTGAGACGATATAAGCACCAATGACAATCCGACAATCCATAGAAATAGTCATAAAATCATATGATCAAGTCAAACAAGTCTCCAAGCTAATGGTTATTCAGGAAACGCACCACAGTGTCGTTGTAGACTCCTAGTTCCGTTGCCCACTCTCTCTTGTGACACTAAGAACCAATATTTCATGTGTGCTTTTAAACCACTGAGCACTAACTTGACCCACTTCAAAAGGTAGAGATTATTTGGTCTCATGTAACACAGGGTATCTTCTTGTCCTCAACATCGAAGTCCAACACGAGCAGTTTTGTCTCCTCGGTGCCGTTGCGACTGCCCACAGCACAGACAAGTTTTGTGTTGTTGCAGCGAAGTCGCCATACTACTCCCCCACTGCCACCACTGTCAAGGGCGACCAGGTTCCGGAGAAAGTCGCCATGTTTCAAGTCCCAGATTTTGACTGTTCCATCATCAGATGAAGTTATCACAAATTTCTTATTAAACTGGAGACAGGTTACAGCACTTTGATGTTTGTTTGGCCCTGAAAAAGAAAAGACAGGTTGTTAATGACAGATCAAAGATCATTATTGGGGCAAATCTATGACCAAGGGCTGCTGGTATACGAAGGGACACAACTCTGTATAGCAACTACCTCGTCAGACAATGGACAAATTAACAATACCGTGTCATAATATCGAACAAATCATGCCAGACATATGAGCAGGACTCTAAAAACACAAACTATAATGATAACATGATTTTACATTCTGTAACTCATTTTCAGTTCATATTTCTTCACCTCATTGTCATCTAATATGATCTATGATTCTTCATTCTGATGCACCCGTGAAGATTCGGGGTAGAGTAGGTCTTCAGCAACTCATGCTTGCCACAAAAGGCGACTATGCTTGTCGTAAGAGGCGACTAACGGGATCAGGTGGTCAGGCTCGCTGACTTTGTTGACACATGTCATCGGTTCCCAATTGCGCAGATCGATGCTCATGCTGTTGATCACTGGATTATCTGGTCCAGACTCGATTATATACAGACCGCCGCCATATAGCTGGAATATTGCTGAGTGCGGCGTAAAACTAAACTCACTCACTCATTCTTATGCCCTAAGTCAAGATTCAGAAAAATATACATATATATGACTTATTAAGGTTACCATACACATGGAATGTGTCCATTTCACAACATAGTAACACCAATTCAAAAGAATATTATGTTATGCCTTAGAGTTGTTACCAAATGATTCAACCGCTATAAGAACAGCAGTAAATGATGGTTCCTGTTCCTACCTTGTAGTGTCTGCAAGCACTGGCCAGTGGTGATGTCCCAGACCTTGACCGTAGAGTCTGCATTGCCCGACACAAGTATGTTGTCCTTCAGCTCTAGACCACTGGTCAGTGACTGGTGACCGATGAGGGTATGCAGACAGTTGCCCGTCTCCACATCCCACACTCTGATGGAGGTATCCAGCGATCCACTCACCACATGGACCCCGTCAAACTGGAAACGCAAGAACATCATCACAGACACAAATACACAGGGATAGCACAACATTTTAAAGTAACCAAATCAAATCTTAGACATCAATCAATACACAAGTTTATTTACATGGTTACATAAAACCCTGGTTGTTTGTTTAATCTTTAAATTAAGGTTGTCAATTTTGGGGGCTTTAAACATCACTGGATCGGAATTCTATGAGGAGTTTGGATCATTCACACATCATTGTGTCCCTTAGTCTTGCCGATTCCAAGATGTTGAAAATACAGTAAAACTAGTAAAACAGGTGCATGTCAAATCTAAAGTATTACTGGGATCCAAATTCCGAACATGTCAAAATACACTTCCTTCTGGCAAAGGAAATTTTGGAATATACACACAGAAATGGCTGAGTTATGGCCTAGACTGTCATGTTTAACATCTGCTCAGAATACTGTGGGCAAGACACCATGGATGTGTAATGACCAAAAGTGACATGCTTAAATTCTAATTAGAATTCTCTGAGCAAAATAGCTGGGATCAGTCATACAATGTTTCAGCTCCATTAGCATTTCACTGGTTCTTTTGGAGGCAATGTTGGAAAGTTCAATTGTCCAGATGAATGATGACAATCACACCTTGACACAGGCTCTTTTGACCAAACTGAGCAACTGCCCAACACCTGCACTGGCCACTTGATCAACCATTTCCAGGAGTTTCAATATTCCTGATGAAACATGGATCAGAAGTGCCATGACATCATTCAACTCAGGAAGGAGTTGTTGGAATCAATCGCCCTTCATCACATCCATGTGTCTTATTTCAACTACAGTAGGTGTATCACTTGGATATGTAGTCAGAAGCTTATGATGCCAACAAAGACTGACACATGTATCTGTCAATGTGGATATACAGATATTCTCTGATTGAACACAAAACTCGGAACAAAATGTGATGAGATCATGTGTCATGTAGGTTATGATCTTGCTAGACTGTCATATATTTCCAGTCAGAATTTAGTAGGAGCAATGTGGAGTATGTACTGCAGGATAAGTATAATTGGACATAATACTCTATATTATGTGATATTTGATTCTGAAGGAGCTGAACATTTTTCCTATTTTGGTCTTATTACTGAAATATGACCTAAGAAGAAATTATATGCAATTCTATTTTATAAACACAGGCCTACCAAAGAAAACTTTCCCACTGTGCAGAAAAATGCAGAAAAGCCCTCATTAATCATGGAAATAGCAACATAAACATAATACCTCGCTACTTAAACAGAAAAAAAAGGCAACTTTAAATCGCTAAATCTGGATAAAATACAAAAGAGCCTGCACCTTCGATTTTGTGCATGCACGCATGGAAGAGGAAGTTTTGACCGAATGTTGACATTTTCCAGCTTCTACGAAAGGTACATTCTCTTTTTAAAGTATTTCTGTTGTGTTATTTGGCATTTATCATCATGATACTTGTGTTCCCATTTGTTTAGTTTACTTTCCATTCGTATGAAATGATTGACAGCAATGATTTCAACATATTCAATACTTTTTCTACGAGAGGTGATTCAAGGTTGCTCGGAAATTTGAAAGAAGCGCGGATCGTAATGCGCATGCGCAGTAGAGGTCAAAGTTCGCTGATACAAAAATGTTGCAGTTTTATAGTTTTTCGTTGATGTTTTTACTGTTTCAGTGGCGAGGTAATATGATTATGTTGCTATTTGCACAATTAATGTGGGCTTTTCTGCGTTTTTCTGCACAGTGGGAAAGTTTTCTTTGGTAGGCCTGAAACAATTATTTACAAAATGTCATATTCAGTCAAGTAATTCTTAAATTTCTTGATATTTTGTTATTTGTGCAATTTTAGTCTTATTGGAACGATGCCAGCATGACATTTGTGTGGTTTACTGCAACAATGTGAGAAGACCGTACCAACGTGCCGGTTCATAACGAGCAGTATCAGCCTGAACAGGCTACTGTACTTATTTACTCATGCTTGTCTGTGTTGACACATCACATCAAAAGTCTTTTGGTTATTGTCCTCAGAGATGAGGAAGAGATCACAGTCAAAAGAGGGGCATTGGCCGTTGCATGATACATAATACTCTCATTATGTCACATTTGTTTACTTATCTTGCATTACATATTGCACATTATCTGACAGTTAGTGGAGGTGTGTACCTTCAGTGCAGCGCTAAGATGTCACGTATCATGGCATCTAACAGGGTGGTCCTGGGTTGCTAGAGCTGGAAGGATGATGGTCTTCTAAGTCAGGTGTAGGAATGGATTGTTCATAAGGATGTTGTCTGAGATGAGAATCAAGTCCAACGCCAGAGAACTGAATTTCAACTGTTGGTCCTCCAATCTGAAACCCCTTGTAATACCTGTCATTTCCAGTAATGTGGGGACAGCTCTGTCTTGAGCTACAGTGCAGGAGATGCTAATGGGGTAATGGCAGACAGGTACTTATCAACAGTACCACTTGTAAGAAATTTCTCCACATCCAGAAGCAGCAAGTATTCTACTAGGAATAGCACCGTTCCCTCTGTCAGGGTAACTTTAGAACTAGGCCCCTTCATCATCATATGGGCCTGACATACAGGTTGAGCTCTTCTTCTAGAAAAAACCTTGGCTGGTAGTACCATCTCTATACAAGCCAGGGAATCAGCTGAAACTGCTCTGGAGTCTGATGGAGGTGGTTGCTGAGAGGGTCATGAAGTAGTTTGGTTGTCCGGCAGCATATTACAAATCCTGTAAACAAGTTCCTGCTGGGTCGAGGCCAGAAGGATGAGAAACAGGCTGTTGGTTCTGCTGACCTTTGGCAGTAAAGGAGACGAACATCTCCAGCTGCTTCTTGTGTCTTGTGGTCCTCAGGTTGTTCATTATTATGTCCACTTACCTAACTGTAGAGAGTAGATTCTGTCTTTCTGATATGAAGGCTGTAAGATTATGTCCACTTACCTGTAGAGAGTAGATTCTGTCTTTCTGATATGAAGGTTGTGAGATTATGTCCACTTACCTGTAGTGAGTAGACTCTGTCTTTCTGATATGAAGGTTATGAGATAATGTCCACTTACCTGTAGTGAGTAGACTCTGTTTGTGTGTCCCTGAAGTGTGTGTAAACACGACTCTGTCTCTGGGTCCCACACACGGACGGTGTAGTCATACGCCCCGCTGACCACGCGGCGGCCATCATACTGGACACACCGGACAGCTGCCACATGGCCCATCAGGACATGCAGACACTGGCCAGACTCGATGTCCCATACGCGGAGAGTGGCGTCACGAGAACCACTCACAACTCTGAAACAATGGTCAGATGTGATGTTCATACACACAGAAGATAAAGTGCACAGTACAGAATATTCCTCTATAACCACCTAGACTTCTTGACAGAAAGGGTTTGATATGGCAGAATCAATAACACATCAACATTCAAAAACTAGGGAAAAGTCAATGACACCATAAACTGATTGATTAACTTATTATTCTCTAAGAACTGATCAAACTGACACCAGTTGCAATAAGCACAATAGCAACCAAATACAAGTACACAAACGGAATGAAACAGATTTTCTGATGACACTAAAATCCCTAACCACCAGCTACAATAAGCACAATATCAATCAAATACAAAATACGAGTACTCAGAAGGACTTTCTGCATGTCACGAACCACTGGGCTGCCAATTCTTCTAGACTGAATATCTTCAACTCTTTGCAACAAGTTGCAATTTTCAGCTTCAGTTATGAAACTCTTCCTGATCATGAGGTTCAAGCTGTGTCTCTAAGTTCTTCTCTAACACTACTTTCTACAAACCTACACATGAGAATGGGTGGTGTGGGTTATATACAACAAGAGTCATCAGAAGATGACAAATATCCCCGGCCCCCACAAATTTGAAAGAACAAATAATCAGATAGTTACTTAAGTCCAATTTGATTTTTTTAGATTAAGTCCAAATTGTTTCCATTGAAATCATGAACAATTTACATGTCAAAAATCTGCAAATAGCAAAAGGCACCATTTCAAGATCTGTTTGATATATCTGCCAAGTCTTATAGAAAGATATTGAATGGTTTTCGATTTGCGCTCCAGAAACGAAGCCCACCCCTCCCTCTTGAGACTAAGTCCGAATTGTTTCCATGGAAATCAGGAGAAATAAAAATGCTAAAAATCTGCAAAATAGCAATAGGCATCACTTTGGGATCTGGCTCATATATCTGCCAAGTTTTATTGATAGATATGCTCTGGAAACGAAATCCACCCTTTTTGAGAGTCCAAATTGTTTCCATGCAAATCCAGAAAAATAAAAATGCCAAAAATCTGTAAATAGCAAAAGGCACCACTTTAGGTTTTGTTTGATATTATTTACCAATTTGTGTTGAAAAATCTTGAACATGTTTTTAGTTATGCTCCGGAAATGAAATGATTACAGACAGACGGACAGACAGACGAGGCATTGACTATACCCCCGGGGGGATAAAAAGGTACTCCTGAGTCAAGGTTGCACTCACTTGTTCCCACAGAGACTCATGCACCTGACAGTGGATGTGTGACCATACAGTGTGTGTTTACACACACCCGTCTCAGCATTCCACACTTTGAGCGTACGGTCAGTTGAGCCGCTTATGACGGTCAGACCGGACATCTGGGATGACCACACCCCTCCAGTGTGACCCACAAGGGTACGCAGGCACTGAAATAAGAACATACAAAAATGATAATCAGGACCATTCTAATGAAGCAACTCAGATACATGCAGTGGTCTTTTCAGTCATGAGTGTTATAAGAACTAAGAATTTCATGCCTGTTCAGCACGGTCTTGAAGATCTCTGAATTTCAAGTTGATTTTGGTCCTGGATGCAAAGAGGGAATGAGTGAGTTTAGTTTTATGCAGCACTCTGCATTATTCCAGCTATATGGCGGAATAATCGAGTCTGGACCAGACAATCCAGTGATCAACAGCATGAGCATTGATCTAGGCATCTGGGATACAATGACATGTGTCAACCAAGTCAGCGAGCCTGTCCACGTAATCCCATTAGGGATGCAAAGAATTCTTGAAACACCAAAAAGTAGAATGACAAGTATTCAGAAGATTGTAGCACATGAAAACTATGTAGCCATTCTAAGCTATAAACCTTCTAGCATGACTTTGTACTTTGAAATTATTTTTTTGTACATTTTCATTGTAGAATATTCACAAGTAGCTCAACTCAGTAAACAAGCAGACATTTTACTAGATGTGGACTTCAGGCAAGGGGATAAAGTCTGCTTGAATGCCTTTCAAGATGACTAAGTGCGATGCTTTACTAAAGAAGTATCACTAAGCAAATGGTAGCAATTGTTTGCCTTTCCAAGGCTTCAAACTTTATTTGGACTTAACCTCTCCTTCCATGAGGAGTTAAAAAGATTCTACACTAGCAGAATTTGCATGCATAGTCAGAGAGTTAGCAACAATTGGTGTACTGTTAATGAGGACAGTATTTTAACAAAATGACAGCCATCAGTTTGATGTGGGAGGAGAACCAGAAGTTACAGCTTTGTTTGCTTAAGCATGTTAAGCTAATAACCATGACAGGGGATGGTAACTGCAAGGATAACCATCCAGGCAATTCTATCAACACAACTGAGGAAAACATCCCTGCATAGCTAAGGGAGACAACTCTTCATAAGTAGTCGTGATTTTCACCACAAGGCGACTGATGCCATGTCTCTGGGAAAGCCTCATCTCAGTTGTCAATAGGTGAGATGTCTTCTTACCAACTTGTAACAAAAGTACCATCAGCAAATCATTGTGGAGAGTTATTTATTCATGTATAGCTGCCTCTTTCTAAAATATTATTGAAGATTTCAGAGCATAATGCAGTTTTGACTAGAAACACTGAGGCTGATAGCATGAACTACTAGGGCATCTATGATGACAATGAAATGGGAAACTAGGTGCTACATTAAATGTGAAATCCTCAAGGTGAACAGTGACAACAGATCATAGCCACCCACTTTGTGAGCTGTTAAAATAATCATGTGCCACTCAGGACCTATTCCACAACCCAAATTGTTCAGTTTACAAACACAAACTCTCTCCTGTTAGCAAGACGCTTACCTTGCCAGAGATAGCAGACCATACTTTGAGTGTGTTGTCATCTGAGCCGCTGACAATACGAGTCCCACAGAATTCAAGGCAAGTGATCACATGATCATCATGGCCTTTCAATACCTGAAACCAAGTGCATAACATGATCATGGATCACACTTCACAATGCATTTGAAAAACAAGCAACACACAATTTTGTTTACTTTGCAACAGGTATCCTCAATGTGTGTAGTAATCCACAAACTTTGCACAAAACTGTCATGTAAGAGCTACAGATAGAATTCTGCTGTACCTTTGGAGGTCTTATAGCACCGGTGCGCCAGTTTTGTTCGATTTGATACTGCCTCATGTAGAGAGCCTTCCATGGACTACGATGCGCTCTTGGCTTCTTGAACTTGTGACTGCCATAAACTAGACTCTCATCCACAGACTCTTCCCGACACTTCTCACGCCACAGGAGGTTGTCCTCGGCCAGGATCCGCCAGTACCGACAGGTTTGAGCAGCTCTCAGCAGATCTTTTGGCTCAAGGAACGATAATACATACAGAGCCAACTGAAACAGAAGCAAAACATTATGACAGAGATCCAAATTGTTTCCCTTGTAAAAGACAGAAAAACACATATAGTACTGGGATCCTTTGTTCGAAATGCACATTGACAGGTAAGCTGGAGGCTGACAGATTTGTTCCTGGGCTCAGAGTTATTTAAGTTTCAGCGTTTGGTTAAGCTGTAAACATGGCAAATGATTCAAAACACCCAGGCTACTTTGTGAAACAGGGTTAAGCTTCAAAGTACTCTGCTCATTGAGAGGCCAAAATCACTATTCACATACAAGTGCAAAGTAAAATAATTATGGGACTTGCATTCTCCTAAGGCAAGGGATATAACAGACTATAAAGTCCAGTTTCCAAACCAGACAGGAATTTTGTGGCTCATACATAGCTCAACCAGTTCCTATCATGAGTTATGTCCCTTCTGTTGATTACACCTTCAGATCATTTGCTTCAAACATGTTCTGAGAGTTATATGAGTAGAAACCTTTCCATAGTTTCAGTACAGCTATTGACCAGACATACCTCTTTTGGCAGTAGTGATATGAAGTCTCTCTGAAACTGGGGCTCGATGACCTGCATCATGTGACGGACCTGAGTTGGCTCACAGATAGCTATCAGCTCATCCACGGCCATGAGCCGCTCAGCATTGCTCCACGCCTGCAGGGAGACACGACATACAACATGGCTTAGTATCATCAACATCTGTACTCAAACACAGTACAAACATCAAACACTGTATGTCACGAAAACAACTTAGTTTAATCACTTTAGTTGTTATGTGAAAATATATGTGTTACCATCAGAAAATATACTGATAGACATACAAGGAAATGAAATTATAGGAAATGATTACAAATGCCAGTATACATTAGACATGCCATTCCTGGGTACCCTGTAGACAAACAAAGAATGTTTCACATGTATTTTGTCGATCTTTAGCTGATAACAGTCATACACATACTTTTCCTGAGTGACTAATCCAGTATGTTTCCTTGTTATTGTTTATCAGTATTGCTTCACAGGGAGCATGAATAAGCCAGAAAACATTGCATCATTCATAGTGAGTTTTTTTTTTACCCCACTTAGCTATATTCCAGCTATATGGAGGCAGTCTGTAAATAATTGAGTCTGGACCAGACAACCCAGTGATCAACAGCATGACCATCGATCTGCGCAATTGGGAACTGATGACATGTGTCAACTCAAGTCAGCGAGCCTGACCACCCGAACATGTTAGTCGCCTCTTATGACAAGCATGGGTTACTGAAGATCAATTCTAACCTGGACCATCACAGGTCTGCATCATTCATAACAATTACCTTGTAAATAAGTATATGAATTAACTATTCTATTAATATAGCTATTCAGATGGACTTATCTGCATACAATACTGGTGAACAAGGATTATAGTATTGTGTATAAAGTATTAATGGAGAGTGTGTACCTGGAATGTCTGCAGCCACTCTGCCAGCTTGGGAGGGGGATTCTCCTTGGAGGGTATTCTCTGTCTGGAGATGGGAACAGTGGGACGCGTGGACAACTTCCAGCTTGTAAATGCACTGTTTACACAAAGAAGATCTCCCATCATTTAACTATTTTTGCATCTGCTGATCTTAATTTTCACAACACAGGTTATAACAAAATTGCTGCTCTGTTACTGTCAGTATTAGGAGTGGACAACAAGATAGGAAATGGAACAGTGATAAAAATAAAATCCCATCAGACTGTAGTCAGCATTATCTCTTGCCAAAGAGTGATGTTCTTAATTGATTCCTAATACTGTAACAATTATATGTGATACAAGACGGACAACAAAACACCTTGCACAAATCATTTCAGCCCAAAGTCACAAATGAAACCGCCAGCCTTAGAAGTGATGTCAGCTTGCGTACGGTACTGAGAATACAAGCTGTAATAAGCTTATCCTGGCATATCCATGGGATGCAACTTAGTATAGGAAATTATGGACCTTAGACCACTAGCCCTACGGTGAGTTGAACAGTTAACCAGCTCCCAAACTGACCTGTGTCCATCTCCAATGCCACAGAACTTCTTGCTGGGGGAGGCGCCATCATCTTTACTGCTGCCTGGCTTCCTCCTCTTTACCTGAAGCCGCAAACAATACATCAATCAACAATGGCAGTTAAACTTTGACCGTAATACTTCAATATGTGTCACAGGCAGACCTATTGGAGGTGGGGAAATCATTTCACTGCGAGTTGTCACTATTACAGTATCAACAGCCAACTGACATACCATACCTTGTGCTGCACTGGGTCAGTGCTGATGCTTAATTGGAAAGCTCACACATAAGTCACATGTATACAGATTACAAGTGCACTACTCTGCAAAATGAAGGCTCATGTCTGTGAAAGGATGCCCAAATTGAGCAGCAAATAGATCCATGACAACCATACATACTGCCAGTACTGCCAACAGTCGCTAATCTACACCATGAGCAAGATATAATATAAAGAAGTATATTATATCATATTTATGTTGTTCATCTCACATTATTTAATAATCACTTGTTTTTGAAACCGTCAATGTCTTGGTAGTTTGGGATCAGATGGTTGATTATAAATACAGATCTTGGGCACACTTGCATTATGACAAATTTTGCATAGAGTCAGATAAACAGATGTGGAAATGAAATACAGATGTTCAGTGATGTAGCAGAGGTCCAGCTTCAGAGCCTGACTTACTGTGTGTTTGCAGCAGCCAGTTGCCTCTGTTAGTCGATGTCGGCAGTGACAGTCTGGATGCACCTGCTGGCAGTCCTTCCCATCCTCCTCCTCTTCACTGTCCTCCTCGTCCGGGTTGTCCTCACTGTCCCGCTCTTCGTCCTCGTCGCTGCTGCTACTGCTGTCATCATCATGGTCGTTGTCAGGGCTCACATGCTCACAGTTTTCTTCCTGTGATGGCAGTTCCATGTTGTCTTCCACGCAGTCCCATGGCGTGTCTGTGTCACCCTGTGGAAGTATCATACTGGGTCATGAAGTTATCACACGTTATTGCTCACCCAGTCCTGAAAGTTCCAGGACATCTGTGTCTAGAACAGAACAGGTAGTTAACAAGTGACCTTGGGCCCCTCGCTGATAGTGACCAGTGTCCAACAAACGTTCAGACACAACATGCCAGGCAGGCTGATGACTAATCAATTAAACCCCTCATGACAATTTCAAACCTGCATTTATAAACAGATGTTCATTGTTATTTTCTAGTAGAGTCATGCTCGGGTAGAGATACATTTCAAGTATCCCAACAGACATGCTCAGGGTTTTCATGTCAAATGTGTGTCCAGTACGCACAAATGTAGACAATGGACGTAGATACGGATGTAGAAAACAAATTCTAATTCAACTTCTAATTCAACGAGTTCTGATTGGTCAATGCTAAAAATTTCCGACCATATAACCACCGGTATACGTCCCCATTTCGTCAAACACAGTACAAGTATCCCCATTCCAATTCAACTTGTTTTACGCTATTTGTTTTCGTGAAAAAAAAATTCATTATTTTAAAACAGGTCAAAGTTCCTCTAGGTCAAAGGTTAATCATATCACTCCTTGAACTTACACCATCTCCAGAAAAAGTAGTTCCCTTTTCAAATTTCAGCACATATTTCATGTGCACACTGACTAAATCTGACAATGATGAATAAACCATAGTGTCATAGCTAAAATGGATGGAATTATCATGAAACCGCCCTCTAGTTATCAGAAATGAGCGGGCCGCTGCATACGATGATGGCCCGCTGATTCTTAAACGATGGGCCATTATCAGTTCTGTTGTCAAATGATGTCACAGCAGGTGACGTCACGCTCCATAATTACATCATAAATCTTGTTTCATGAGCTAACAGTGTTGGGTTATTATATTATTGTAAATTGAAAAAGGTGCCTTCCTACCCTGGTCAGACAACTGCAGCTGTGCCTTTGAGAATCGGTTATTATAATTAAAACCTATTCCTAAATACGTAAACCTATCGACAACCTCTAGGACACAACCATTATATATAACCAATGTTCTGAAGACCATTATCTTTGTTTTAGCAATATTTACTTCAAGTTCCCACCGTGTGGAATAAGCTGACAACGAATTCAACTGTGTTTGCAACCTTTCAACATATTCAGAAAATATTACAAGATCATCAGCATACATGAGCAGAAACATATTTAAAGATTTAAACTCGTAAGGTACACGTTTATCTTTAGGAAAAACTCGTCAAAATTAAGTGTCTAAATGAAAGAAAATGAATCATGAAGAATAGACGTGAAAATGTGTAAATAACTTTATTTATATTTTTATATGTGCCCAAATTAAAGAGCGTCCCCGTTAATCCTGTTTTCTTTGTAATTTGTCAGAGCCTCCGAGTGAGGCATGCCGTGTTCATTCAGCCATAACATTGCACTGAAGTACTGCGAAGGCTACGCTCACTGAACCGAGAAGCGTCACGATTTTAGCCTTCCTGGCCATGAACCGGGTTAACAGCCCGTTGCGAGTTGTTTGAAGTAAACTTGCAATTAAATTTATGATACTGTTTTGTCTTTTTAAACACAAATTCCATCCATTTTTAGAGTAAATTGACCCAGGGCTTCTGCAAATGATAATTCCCTGAAAAACAGTGTTACCCAAATAGTGTATACATTCATTCAATACATTCAAAGGTTTGGTGATTCAGTTTTCAAATTGCGACTGTATTTGCTGATTATATATCCACAAATGTAACGTTATATAAACTAAACTAATATAACTAAAGTTGCGGCTATATAACCACCGGTATACGTCCCAAATTCGTCAAACACAGTACAGTTATCCCCTAATTCACATGCACATTGCAGGTACTGTGAATAATATCATGCGTCCCCCTGGATGCACCAGGGAGACACACGATATTATTCACAGTACCTGTAACACATCTATGCCTTTGCTAAGTTTTTGGTTGTTTCTTTCAGCGCAGTTACGTGCATCATTTCACCCATCAGTTCATATGATCAATCATTCATCCAGGCTCTAAAGAAATGACCAAAACATAGTTCTCAACACCGTTACTTCACAGGACCCTCATAATGCCTGCAAGGACCCTTAAAACTAATAATTAGGGGTCCCCGGTACCCCTATGTCAGTGAGTCGAAAACCCTGTATGCCAAAATACTACTGTTACATCACACAAAACTATGCAAATTTCACATCCACGATAAGGATGTGTACAAACCTTCACCGACTGCATAAGTGGTTTCATTAGTTTCAGAGCACAGAGGTGCTTTAACTGTATAGTATCTTTAAACAACTGTGACGGAAAAGTTACAAGTTTGTCAAATCTGACCAGCTGAGGAATGCGGTATACTGAATTGACAAAATGGAGCTTTCTGCACCAGCTCACATAATAACACACACAATACATGTGAGATGTTTCCGCTAGACACCACCTGTGGGGACTCCAGCGACTTCTGCTGCTAGTAACATGTCCATGTGCTTAGGCTAAGCAACTTAACTGAATTCATGTCATCATAACCCAAGAACATGGAAAGTTGCTCATGATATCAAGCACTGGCTTGCCGAGTCAGGACATGATTTATATGCTGTCACCATATCGCTGAAATATTGTTATTTCAACATAAAGAAACAAGCAACCAATTTTAAAGCAAGCATGGAGGCCCAGTGGCAAAGTCTGACGGACAGTCTTCAACCATGACAAACATGTCAACAATCCTGCAAGTATTGTTATGACATTAAAGGCACTATCTCACATCACACTTCGCTAAAAATATATAATGCATTTCTATCAATGATACTAAACATCAGCCCTCAGGAAGCTACCATATAATTTATTAAAAAGAAAATTACGTATTTAGATAACAATTTTAATATAAAATACCATTGTTAGGGTCTGATAGTGAGTGTGTGTGTGGTTTTCTGCTGCTTTTAGCAACATTCCATCTATACCCCAGCACAGGGACACTGGGTGCTGAACAACACCGCAACGAAATGAGCTCTCTTACCTGCGAGTCAGGATTTGCATCATCAGAACTGGATATTTCAGGAGTTTCAACCTTTGGCTGTTCTTTCAATCGTGCATCATTCCCTCTGGACTGACGTGCATTGCTAGTTGTAGGGGCTGTTGCGTCCTCCTCCCTCCGCTCCACTGTGACGAACAGTCGAGACAACCGCCGTGTCAGCCTGCTCTGACGACTGGAACTACTGGAAGCAAATGAGAAACCTTGGGAATGAAGAAACGTTCAAAGCATTAACAAAGATGGCAACCCTAATTTAGCCAAATTAGTGATTTGGCCAAAAACTGATGCAAAAAATTAGTATTTTTGGGCCAAAATTAGTATTAACTTTTCCAAAGAATTTTTAAAAACATTTTTACTGCTATCGTAGTAGCATATTTTCTGATGTTTTTTTCGAATGAATACGATAAAATCATATGGGTTGGCATCTCTGCATTAACATGGATTAGGTTCTGTGGAGAGTTTCCATTCAACAGAAAGGTACAGCAATGTTCTACAAATCAATAGCTTAAAGTAATTGTTGCCTCTAACCTAAATTGAAATCTGCAGGTACTATATATATATATCACAACCATTAGCAGAAATATGATATCATACAGATCAAAAATGCAATATAAAGTCTTTCTGACATAATTAGACAAAAAAATTACCTTCAGGGTAAATATCAATGAAAGACAAGCAAGCACTGAGATAAGCTGGGTTTGTTCTTTATCGCCTTGCTCCTGTCTTTGGTGAAAGGATATCACATTAAAAAGCTTCAGTTTAGCAAGAGGACATCCCTATAAAGAGAATTATCAATGATCTTGGCATCCTTTCAGGTGAGTGTTAGAGGGAAAAGCATCCCTTCAGTTTAGACATCCCAAGAGGACATCCCTATAACCCAGAGGACATCCCTATAACACAGAGGACATCCGAGGACATCCCTATAAGACAGAGGACATCCCTATAACACAGTATGACTTGTATATGGACATGAATAACTAGCTTCATTTTCATTGATGACAGTTTTCAAAACTTAATGATTGTAACCGATTATTCAAACACAGAATGGTATTTTGTTCATTTTATTAATGAATCCATTGTCATGAGAAGTTCAAATCTCACTTTTCATGGCTGGAATATTGCCGAGTGTGGCGTTAAACACCAACCAAGACCAACCAACTTTCATGTGAGATTCATATGAAGGAAAACAGTAACTAAAGTAGAAATCAAAATATTAGATGGATGATTATCTTTAATAAATCAATAACATGATCATCTGTGTAGTTGAATTCATGAAATATGAAATTTAACAATAATTCACTATCTTAATTGGGCTCTAAAACTTTACTGTTATATAAAATTAGGACTTTACCCGATAAATAGGTGTAACATTGAAGCAAAATACCTGATGCAGCAAACAGTATGGAACAGGCTATAACATGTCAATTGCGTCTGTCAATCAAAACGTGAATGAAATGCACATGCTTTAAGTGGAGGGTCGCTCTCATAACTCGTTTGAGCTACTGTCATCAAGATGGACAATCACTGGTTGGACAGCACTCTGAGCAACCCCATCAACCTCACAGTATTCATTTTCAATCTTGATGACATGGTTTTCGCATTTGTCCATGTTTCACTGTCAATCCTTTCAAAAGCTTGCTGTACCAATCGTTTCACATCTGAAAGTTTGAAAGTGCTGTTCTTTTTCGCCACGAAGTTCTTGCAATTCGCCCATATTAGTTCAATGGGGTTGAGTTCACAGTGTCTCACTGGAGTTCTCAGAACAACATGTCCCTGAGATCCAGCTAGAGCATCGGGTTTGGTACTGTGGTTTAGGTTTGTTTACTTTTATTTGTTCAAGAAGTTTTGGCTTTGTGTCTTTGGCATCAAAAGAAACATCATGATCTTTCAACCAGGATTGCATCACACACTTTTTGCTGGCCATGGTTGGGGCAACTGTTGATTCCACCTTCACATTATGGTAAGAAGCGCTATCTAAAACAATGACGCTTTGGGTTATGTAACTCTGGTAACAGTTGATGTTCCATCCATTCCATGAAGACTTGAGAATTCATTTCCTTGTGATAGTCACCCCTCACTGCTGTTAGCCTCGAAAACAAGATCACATCCTGAATCAGTCCACAGTCTCTCCTACCCGCGTGTAATATGATGAGTCTTTTTCCCTTTACCTGACGGTATCTTAGGTGCAGAGGACATGTCACATGGCAGCCACATTCTATCTGTCGAATGATTTTGTTCACCCACGCTTCATCAGTATACACAATGTCAAACCCCAGTTCTCTGTACTGACGTGATCTGTCTCAGGTAGGCACATCTCTGATTGACCATAGTCTTTTCTTCTCTGAACAAATGTCTATTTTCTCCTCGTTTGGTATATTGGAACCCCATGTCCTTCAAAACACGTGTTAAAGTGCTGCTTGAAACACAAATAGTATCCCTAATTTCATGTTGGATACGCTTTACAGTGGGAGGGATGCTGCTACGATAAAGCTTTTGAACTGCGCGCCTGATTATGCCCCTATCAAAACTGTCAACCACTTTCTTTCTACCTCTCTCCGCTCTTTTGAGACGGTCCCTCCACTACCTTTAGTCGCCTGTTTCTTGATGATGCCTGAGACTTGACTCACAGATAGTCCCACAGCTCGGGCTGTTCTTGGCAATACCCGATTCAAATTTACCATATTCTTCCCCAATTTCTTTTCCCACCTAAAAAAGAAAGAATATACCCTCTTTATTACCTTCACAACTGATACGGGCATTGTTGTTCCTCTACCCATGTTGACAGCACGTGAGTGTTGACGTGACAAGCATGGATGTTATAGTTTTTTCAATAAACGATAATAAACTTAGAAAAGTTTTCATTTCAGTAGGTTTCTCCTGTAAAATAACCCATCTATGTCATTTCGGTACTCATCTATGGCACAAGTAGATAGTGTTTTTATTTTTATGCTGATATATACAGATGTCCTTCTTTTCAGTCGATCCGTGATATCTCCTATTTTATTGATCAATACTTTAGTGCAAATATCTACCAGACTAAAACATAATTCTATTTTTTATTGATCAATACTTTTTTATAATATTGTCAATTTTATCAACAAGGCACGAACTAGAATCATGCCTACATAATCCAAGGGAGAAAACATTCGGAATGTCTGTTAATTATTAGCATGTTTCCCTTTATTTGGTGAATGGCTGTTGTGCATGCATTGGTGGTAAAATTGATAATTGTTACTTATCTTAACAATTATTTATTCATAATCTATTTATATAGTGTCGATTCCAGCTTGGATGCTCATAGGCGCGCTTTGTCTTTTCCCTCAATCATTGGATGTCGATCAACGGGACTTCGCATTATCAATCTCAACTCCCTGGGGATCATATAACTCCTGCAGCCACTAGGTGCACCAAGTTAATCATGTTAATAAGGCTTTCCCATCCTTACGAGGTACTCTTTCACAGCTTGGTGGACTGGGACACATAGTCAGAGTACTTTGTACAAGTTCACTGCACATTGCTGTACCCGCAACAAGGTGTTTGCACACATTCATGTGGCCACCATCTGGTCATTTACCAACGGATTCATGGGTTCTTTTAGCGCACAGGGTTGTGTACTGTACACTAGGGGTTGTGACAACACTGAAAGAGTCTGCACACAAAGTTGGCTCAAAGGTTTTTACACCCGGTCACAGGTGGGCTCAATCCTGGCACCTCCAGCTCGCTGGATCACTAGCCTGGTGCCTTAGATACCTTGCCTACCATGCCCACAATGATCAACAAAGAGAAAGAGGCACAAGAGATGAACTTACCTGCTTTCACCAGAATTTCGAGATTTGGCCGAGGAAGTCACAGGTCGACAAGATAATCTCCTTTTGTTCTGATCTACAATACTGCTGCCGATACCAGCTACCTGGCTTAAGGCACCAATGTTTTCAAAAGCTCCCAATTCCTGAAATCATAGAAACATCAAAAACATCTTAGATACATTCTTACAATCTTCCATTACTATCAGAGAAACAGACCTCTTGTCAAAGTATCAAGTGAATCTATGCTAAATGATGCTTCTGTGGATCCCTCACTGTCAGACAAATCAGAAAATGTTTTAACAGAAAATGTCTGTATGAAGCAGACAACTGATATCTGTGTCTTGTTTTCTATCAATTACTGTAAAACAACAGTTAGTAAGTCAGTTTAGTTTTACGCTGCACTCAGCAATACTCTAGCTATATGGTGGCGGTCTGTAAATAATCGAGTGTGGACCAGACAATCAAGTGATCAACAGCATGAGCACTGATCTATGCAAAATGGGATACAATGACATGTGTCAACCAAGTCAGCAAGCCTGACCACCCAATCCCATTAGTTGCCCCTTACGACACTCGTGGGCTATTGGAGACCAATTCTAACCCAGATCTTCATGGCTTCAACAACAACAGAAGATGAGCTCAAATATATTTATCAATGAACTCATTCACAGTAGTCAGAACATACCAAACAATGAAGTTTTAGCAATCAATTCATGATGAAACAACAAAGGTGGCAAAACACTGGCACGAGGTAGAATGTCCTGTTTAGTAAAATACCAGGTCCTCAAAAGGCACCAATATTCACAACTACACTGATCTGTATAGCAACTTTCAAAAAGAACTATTCAATGGTTTAGAATCTGAAACAACAACAGACATAAGACGGATGGACAGACATGCTCATGGCTTCATTCCAAAGTATTCAACCTGGGTGATAAAAAACAAGATGGCTGCCATGCCTGACTTTCTTGGTGGAACACATACTCCCATGATATGGGGTTCTGAAGCCTAGCTGGAGCACAGTACAATAGTCAGGTTACACCATCACACGGTTGAATTACCCAGCTAAATGTTTCTGGATGAACGAAAACTTGTACAATGGAAGAGATATCAGTGATTCAGTTTCTCATGGCCGTAGACAAAATTTCAAGTAGATAACTTTCCTATCTAATGTCGTGAGAAAGTGAATGACTGATATATCTTCTCTTGTATTAAATTTCCGTTCAAAAACAAATCGGAAACACTCACTATTTATCTACACGTCTGAAATCTACGTTAAAATTATCACCATTCCATCTTCAAATCCATATCATCAGTTTCTGTATTTCTTGCTGGTAGTATATATTCTAAAAAAAGAACTGAAGAAACTTGAGTCAAAAAGCAAAAAAAGTTATTTCTGCTGATCGTGTCACGAATCAGATGCTACTTACAATTGTAAGAGGCTGCTGAACATTTCACATATTTTTTTTTTTTAAAAACTGGCTTTGGTTTCTAGGCTTAAGAAATCTATAATGTGGATAGATACTGGCTGTGTTCAGGAAAATGTCACCACACATTCTTTTCATCAGCATCAACAAGCTATCAGGAGAAACCCAACTACAAACAAAACATTATTTGACTCATTTTATGCTTGGATCAAATTTTCACTTGAATCTCAAAATGACAAAAATGGCAACATAAAAGATGACTTGAATACCAAGACAAAAAATAACCATCAAACAAAATGTTTGCCATCAACTCATCGTCAACTGTTAATCAACCATCTACACACATCAACTTGCACACAACAGTCACTTTGCATCATGTCTGTATCCAGGATACAGAAGTCATTACTGTTAATAGCTAACTATTTACAAAAAAACCATCAAATTAGTCTCCAACCAAATGTTGCCACAGCCTTTGGAAAAGTCTTGAAAGTCTTCCGAGTTACGATTACCATAATGGACATTTAAAGTTACAAGCGCCAAGAACTATTGCAAAATGAGACCCAGCATCAAAATGACATTCTGCCAAGGATGTATTTGACATATACATTTTCAAGCAGCTAAGTCTGCAGTGCAGCAAACACGGATACTATGACCAGGCAGATCACTCCAGTCCTGACGGAATGGCTTGTTAATGAAAAATTACAACAACGCTGTGGTTCCCCATTAATACTAAATATCCAGAATGGTTACGTTAAAAAAGTAGGCTTTAGCACCTTTTCTTAAAAAAAATTCCAGGGCAACTATTTTGAATAACTGTTGTAGAGCTGAATGTGTTCATAAACAGATTTATGTGTTCATGTGTGGTGGTTGTTGTCATGCATGAACAGTGACCACAATTAAAAAACATTAGAATTATATGTTATTGACTCTGGTCTCCAACTACGATCAAATACAGTGTTGAAAGCCGACTTAAAAGGACAAGTGTCTCCTACTGGAGATAAGAATGTGTTACTTGAGCTAAGCATGGACAACTGGAGACAAGCCTGTGCTACTTGAGACAAGCATGGACAACTGGAGACAAGCCTGTGCTACTTGAGACAAGCATGGGCAACTGGAGACAAGCATGGGCAACTGGAGACAAGCCTGTGCTACTTGAGCCAAGCATGGACAACTGGTGACAAGCCTGTGCTACTTGAGCCATACATGTGCTTCAGGGGATAAACATGGGCTACTGGGGACAGGCCTGTGCTACTTGAGACAAGCATGGGCAAATGGAGACAAGCCTGTGCTACTTGAGACAAGCTTGACAAACAAGGACTAACAGGGATCTTAGGATGAACACAATCAGGCACCACAGGAAACAAGTTGCATGGGACAAACATTGACGATTAGAATGGGCTACTGGGGACAAGCATCTGCTAGGAGGCACCCAATAGGACTAATGTATAAACATGATAAATGGGTACAAAGATGGATGAGCATTTTAAAGAAATGTAGCAGGTACCATATATGTAAAATACCGACATATATCAGGAACCGTTTGAAAGGTTCTGGTAAGTGGAGAAAAACAACAAATGATCCAACTATGTAGAAATCCCCTGTCATAAACACAATACCATAGCTTTAAACTCCTCTTGTGAAGAGTATCATGTAGTAATACTAAAATGTGGAGATAAAGATGTTTTAAGACTTCGGACAGAAAGACTTACTTTATTTTTAACTGCATAATAATTCCATTTTAGTATTAAACGTGAACCATGCCTGCTTATATGTTCAAGTACATGCTAAAAAAAGAAATTCCATCTAATCATGATGAAATTCAAGCAACACAAAATATAACTGCATCAAACATGTTAAAAGAAAACCCTTTTCAAGTCTACAGAATATCTTTAAGCTGTAAAGAAAACAGCATTGTAATTTTAACAACACAAAGCTGGTAGATTGAATGCTGTACTTACCTTCCTGTGCTTGACAATGGCTTCAGCTTTGCGTGTGCCTACACCCACTAGTGTCTCGAGCTCACTGACTGTTGCTGTGTTAATATCCACTCTGCGTCTGGCCATTCTCCGCTGGTAGTAGCCCAACTTGCTCTGAAGACAAACAACCACTCACGATATCATCTCTCACATATATTGTATGTAATGAACAGTTACTTCCAACAAATGGCTATCTTCTTTCAACTGCATATTCTTCCAATTTAGAATTATGATGATTCTGTTACCTAAGACAGCTTCATCATCATCATCATCATCATCATCATCATCATCTAACATGGACTATAAATACAAACTGGAATTTGAATGTCAAGCTGTTGTTGTTGAAAGTTTGGTATTAACAAGGATAGTCACTTTCTACTGTACTGGTACTCCTGTGGGAAAAACGCGGCATAGATACTAAATTCATATTATTGAAAAAATAAATTTCCTATTGCTTATAATGTGTGTTAAACCAAAACATGACGGAGTAAATTGGCAAAATATTTTTCCAGTCACTATTACCCATATTCACCAATGGCCTTGAAGGAATACAAAGCAAATTGTTTGGTGCCATGGAGTTACCTCTCAACGCGGTGTTTATTTCATTGCAACATGGTCATCATGTCATGCCAAGAATCTTTATGTGTTTTTTCTGCTTGAACTGCACAGGTTAGGAGGAGTAAGATGATTATGGTATCACATGACACCGACTAACTGTTTGTTGCTTCAATACAGTCTAACAACAATTACCGTTTCCTGAGTGTGCAACAGAAATATAACAATAGCTCATTCTGCTGCACTAATAGCTTACACCCACAAGGATATCACATGTACACTTGGCTGTACACTTGGAAATTTGTCCTCTTTATAACATATAAAAATAAATAAATTATGCTGAGTTGAATAAAAACTTACATGTGACCTACTAGAGCTAAACACTGCAGCCATATTGGAAATCAGTCCCTGTTGTGCATATTGTTGGAACATCGGGACTGGATCAGAAAGGCAATGTTTCGGATTCCATGTAATGAACACGACAAAGGAGGCAGAGGGGATAATGCCGGCTAATAATAATGGTTACTGCTGTACAAATAAGGGTATCGTGGATGGATAGATGCCAAGTGTAAGGACTTCTAGTTATCAATGTACATGAAAACAGGTCGAGGCAAGGGGAAATGGTGTTTAACATCACATGCAAGATTACTGCACACTCATAATGTAAAACAACAGTGAGTAAGTCAGTTAAGTTTTACGCTACACTCAGCAATACTCCAGCTATATGGTATCAGTCTGTAAATAATCGAGTCTGGAATAGGCAATCTAGTGATTAACAGCATGAGCATCGATCTACACAATATGGGATACGAGGACATGTGTCAACCAAGTCAGCGACCCTGACCACCCCATCCCATTAGTCACCTTTTACGACAAGCATGGGTTACTGAAGACCAATTCTAATCTGGATCATCACGGGTCTCACAACAACAACAGATAATCTAAGTCCATGCAATGACATGGAAGACACGCCGAAACCTCATTGTAGCCATTATCTGCCGTCTGCTGTACTTCGTGTCCATGTTATTATTACTCGCTGCCTTTCCCAGCATTCAAACAGCCATTTGTGACATCCGACAGACACAAATAGAAGTATGAAAAGCATGAACTTTGTTTAATTGGAAAAACTTTTTTGAGTATGCTAAATATGACTCGTCTTATCGTTAGTTTTATTTATAACATGATCAGTTTTATGCCTTTCATGTGTGGGGCTGCTTAACTGCTCATCTCGTCAATATGGAACAAATAATTAGTTTCCTTCATGGAAACCAGTATGGCAGTTTACTCAGATTAAAGGTGCTTACTGTCAATGAACAAATCTGAATACTATATTTAACCAAGCCTAATGACTTGGTCTCATATGACTTGAGTTGCACATAATACATTAATACATCAAAAATACATTATTTCTGATGACAAAACATTATCAATGGACATCGGACCCATAAAATTAATGACAGATTTTGAGTCTCGATTTAGACAAAATAACATGAAATCATCTGATAACTATACACATTGTTTAGGTAAATTGACGACAGGTCAAATGGGGATTAATGTTAAAGAATATTTCATGTACACACAGCAGAGTCCATGTACATATTTGTGTGGATGCTTGTACTATAGTTAGGCTAGTTTGATATAGCTAGCCACTGTGATACGAGCTGGTGGGGGTAGCCTAGTGGTTAAAGCATTCGCTCATCCCGCTGAAGGCCCAGGTTCGATTCCCCACATGGGTACAATGTGTGAAGCCCATTGCTTGTGTCCCCCGCCGTGATATTGCTGAAATATTGCTAAAAGCGGCGTAAAACCCAATTCACTCACTCACTGTGATGCGATGCCACATCCTTACATGATACACCAGTCCAACTGCTGGCATTAAACCAGACAATTCTTGCTGTATTCTAGACTAACACTTAGTCCCTGAAAATATATAATTTTGACAGTAACAAATAAACCCATTTAAACTGAAAAGTGAACCCAAGTGAGTTGGGAGAATGAACCTTGGAAAATCTAGACTTGCTTCATTTAGGCTTTAGCATTGGAGGGAGGGCTAGGCAGTAGGGAAAATAATGTGGTTCACGGACTGTGAGACAGACCAGCTGTATTCCCTCAATGCTGATGGCCAGACAGGGTAACAAGCAGTACAATCTTATATTTATAGGTATTTGCCCCTGAGAGATCCAAAAATCTATGATCAGCATGTTTGGGCTTTCCTCACAAATGACAAGGGTAGGGGATCCATTCTACTATACCATACATCACAGATAGTTTGGACCCGTGAACATCCAAATGAGGCAACTAACGGGATCGAGTGGTCAGTTTGCGAACTGGGTTGACACGTGTCATTGTATCCCAGTTGTGAAGATTGATGCTCATGATATTGATCACAGGATTGTCTGGTCCAGACTCGATTATTTACAGCTGGAATATTGCTGAGTGCAGCGTAAAAGTAAACTCACTCACTCACAGAAAGTTTGCGTTACATGCAACAACTCCTGTAAACTACCAATATTGACTGAATGCACTGTTAATGTAAAGGCTAAAACCAAGTTGAAATATGATCATGTTACAGTTCCCATTATTTGCTCATAATTGATCCAATGTGCTGTACATGACTTCGTTGAAAAACTAGAATAAATAGTTATTCCCTCTGAGGATGGAAGAATTCTCAATTACATGACAAGTGTTGAGTTTTCATGTATCCGATATGTATACACACGAAAAAAACTGTTTTTTTCTTAACGTATGTATAATTCTTTTGCATAGAACTATTCTGTTTTCACAACACATCACATCTATGTGAATGTGTCTCATTTCTTGGCAATATCCTCTGTCAGTTTTGAGTTTTGCTGAAGTGTGATGGACAAACATTCTACAACCTATAACATAAAGTGGACAGATAAATAAAACCAGCTATCATATGATCCCTTTCTAGATCCAAATGTCTTCAAGTTGAGCATACAAGAAATCAATGATATACTTTTGTAAACAGGTGAGCTGCAACAAGAAACCATTCCACTGTTATAGAACTGGAGAGACTGAGCAGACATCTTCAGTCTTGTAATCATAGTAAGATTCTCACATCTCGTCAATCAATTGATATTTTCGACTTAGATTTCTCAATTCTATTCGCAATTTGTAAGGTAAATAGAAAATATACAGGAGGCAGATGAGTGATAAAAGTAGTTTGAGCTTGGAGTGACCAAAACAATTCATCAAGTTCTACAAATCAGACAATGACTTAATCATCATTAGCTACCAAAATATTGGTAAGAACATTGAGTTTATTAATATTAATATGAACTGGATCGACTGTCAGCTCTGCAGAAGCCTATCAGGTTGATTTCAGTAACATAATCCAGTTGATTTCATAGTTCCTTGAGATATGTCAACAGCTCATGTTTCAATACAAAAGAAGACAGACGCCATCTCAGAAGATTCCGCTGTTGTACAATAATGCAGATACACAATAAAAACAGGTAGTTTTACTACTGCTGTAAACACAGACATCGCATGACCTTTTCTTGTAAATTAATACTACACATGAGATGAAGATGACTACAACGACCATGAATAGAAGATACTCATTGCCACATGACACCAATAAACATGGTGGAAGGACAGAATGGCCAACAAAGCATAATGATTGATGATGTCAAGTTAAGGCAACTGTAAAAAGTCTGCAAGCTTATGGAAACTGGAAACACAGAATACTATTTCCCAGTAACCATGGAAACCTCTAAATTCTTTTTATAATGTTTATTACATTTTTCAAGGGAATGCTTACAATTTGATTTACTTAAGGAGATGGGGAAATTACCAGATTCCTCTTGAATCTACACCATACATACCGTATATTACCGTCTATAAGCCGACCCCATAGATAAGCCGACCCCCAAACCTGACCCTTAATATCAGTGTCAAAATGGTATGTTTCGTGCATAAGCCGACCCCCGCAATGGGGTCCTAATCGCGGCAAACACAGACCACAGACAACTGGCGGTTACCAATAATTATAACTTTGGTCCACATTTTAAAAAAAATTCACAATCATCTTGCGTCTACTAACGAATCGAAATGAAGTGTAGTTGACAGAAAATAGATAATATATTTTGTTTCGCTAAATATCATACATATTGTAGTTAGACGATAACATGTCAACAAACTGGCTTGCTTATTACCGCCTTGTTTTCCATGGACTGCTAGTTTACAGTAACATCGGTAAAAATGTGTGAACTTAAATGGCTTGCTTATTTTACCACATTCCATGTGCATACAACTTACCACGTTCATGAGGGTCCGTATAACCTTAGTGTTGATTATATATTTTACATTTATAGTGCAAAAACTGTAATTAAAATTAAACAATGCTACGATATATTTCTTTGGCTTAAATAATAGTACTCTGTATTATATTTTACTGGTGATTGCGTCAGATTTCATCCCGTTATATTATTGTGCATGTTTGAACTTGCTCGCCGGGAAAAGTGTGCACAGCTTATTGCTATTTCCGGCTCAAATACACACGGTAATCTTATTCTTACTTAATTTATAGTGCA